CAGTGATTTGACACAGTTAAAATATGCCAGCATCCCTCACTACCTGCCTAGACCACTAAGGATTACTGTGAACTTGGGTGCCTTCACAGGAAGCAGGTGATCTATGGGGTATGTTGCTCAGTCAGCTTTCTTCTTTTGGAACACTAGTTCCTCTAGTTCCTATGACATTGTCTTGCATCATAAATTTATTTACAATTTTGGACTTATGCATGTTAAAAGTTGGGGGAATCTTGCATCTACTTGTAAGGAAGGGATCTGTTCTCAACATATTGCTGATCTGGCTTTGGCCACTGGTGAACTCATCAGACAACTGAAGGCTAGTGTGAATCAGGTGGAATGTTCGGGAAACTTCCCGTGTAGCAAGGGGAGCAGATGAGCTCACTATTGCACTGCCAGGAAGGAGTGACTGCTCTGAGACACCGTGGCAGCTCCCCCTTCTCTGAGACCCAACGTCTGGTCTGAATTCATCCACCCCTGCTCACTCTTCAAGCACAATAGATTGCTTTTATCGCATACTGACTAAATATCAAGCATTTTATAAATACTTTGTATGCAGGCGCTGTCATCTTAAACCAGTTATTCCAGGAGATGGACACACAATATTTCTGTTTTGTAAATTAGGGTACTAATGAGAGTAACCGCCTAATGTGTCTTAGTGTTTGCCTTGACGTTTACCAGATATACGTTCAATGAGATTTTGATTTCCAAGTTTAATCCGGACCTTCTTGGGACTACTAATCTAGAGAAGACAGGTCACCGAGGAGACTGCAGAAACACGAAATCAATGCTTTAGGGTCGATTTCCATTGATTGCCTGAGTGCTGTGTGCCCTCTGTGCAATTTTATAGCAGGAAAAACTGCAAAGGATGCTAGAGAGTGTGATAACGATGCATTTCTCTCTCCGAGTCAGCTTCGCTGTCAGCGGGGCTTCATAACAAAGGTGGCTGGAGAAGGCCTGGCTGACCTGGACACTTCAGTGAGAACTCATCCTAAATCAGTGGCTTCACACACTTCTTCCTGCTTCCTGCAAAGGTGGCAAATCCCTCAGGAGTCCCTATGAGTCTAGATAGGTAGATTAAGAACTGCTGATAACTTTAATGGCTTAAGTGAACACATCACTAAAATACCAAACAAGCCCCCTGGGTTACCAAACCACTCCTCAGGGACATCATTTCTCTACTTAAAACAGATGGAACTGTGTGTGGAAAGGAACCTAGTAGCTCCATGCCGTCTTAATTTTGACCTCTCTAGGGTGGAAATGAAGGGAATTTCCCCTTTGGATTGCCTTTACTACACTGTACACTGAGAGCTGAGTGTAAGTAACCCCCAGCTCTTTATGTGACCTTCATGACTGATGATAGGTTGCACAGACTGGTGATCCTTGCGGTCCCGGAGATAAGTCAGGAAGATCACTAGTTCAAGGTCATCTTCTGAGAGACACCAAGTTCCAAGTCAGATGCCATGAGACCCTGCCTTTAAACAAAAATAACACAAATATACCCTTATAAACCAGCTGTGGGGTGTACATTGAACAGCTATCAATTTGCATGAAGAGAATGTGCCTTCACCTCTAACCCAGGATAAGGGTGAGGTCAAATTCATGACCCACTGTCCTCAAAGTGGTTCAAATAAGAGCTTTGGTTCTTTTCTTCATGGAATATAGATTAATAGGTTATTGATATACCCCCAGACCTGCCAATTTCTACAGTGAGCTAAGCAATCATTCCAATTATAATAGTTACAAACTCTTGCTGTCCACATTAGCCAAGTTCTAGGTCTTTCCCACAGATACTTTCATTAGAGCATCCCGGGGATGTCTGAGGTTATGAGGCCTATGCCTTCTAGAACTAACAATCATTGGAGATCAGATGTATCATAGAAGGTGGTACTTGCCTTTAGACATCCTGAGAGTTATAGCTTAAGGTCTGTGTGGGTTCTGCATGTCACTGCCAAGCTCTCTGGAACTGTGACAGTGATGCTTGAGAGTGGAGGGGTGTTCCCAACAGTTGCTGCTTGCTAAGGACCTCACTGTCTACTCTGAGTGGTAAATCTCTCTCTCAGTGTTATATTTGGTCACTGCACCTCAGAGCTCAGTTATCACATTTGGTCAGTACATCCTGGAGCTGAGTATCACTTTTGAAGCTCCTGGAGTTCTCCATGAACCAAGCTTTACATACACCATCCTCCTCAACCTTTTCTTTAGCATCCGGGTATTATACACCTAGAACCATCCAGCCCCTTCTCTGTTTCTACACTTGGTTTGGAACATGTCACCATTCTAGACTTAGCCTCTTTTATAGAGAAGTTCCTTGTCTACTCTTCCTTGGACCTCTGCTAATCCATTAGGATTGTTTTAATTACTCAGATTCTCATGTAAGAAAAAGAAAAGGAGTAAATTCCAATCCTTTTGACCCAGGAAGGTACTGTAGGAATTCTTCATTACAAATTAACATGGAAGGGGGATGTGTGAAATCCTGCTCATCTGAGACCTCAGTCTAAATCTCTCAGGAGGACTGATCCATTACTCCTCGGGGAAAAAAAAAAAATTACCAAAGGGCTAGGCTCTCAAAAATGCAATATTATAAAGTCCCTTCTTAAGACATTGCTCGGAATGGCATGGAGTGTCTTCCTCCATCAATCTCTATTATATACTGAGGCACAAGGTCTCCCATTGATCTCAAAGCTTGACAGTTCAGCCTGTCCAGCTTGTTAGCTGGCTCTTGGAATCTCCTGTCTCTACCTCCCGCATACTGGGATTATAACTGCATTGCCATGGCCACTGTTCATTTCATTGCTGGAGATCTAAACTCAGGTCCCCACCCTTGCCCAGCAAGTGCTTTACCAAATGATCCATGTCCCAATCCCTGTGAGAAATTAGGATAATGTAAAAGTAGAGGATGAAGTTTGTGTTGTATCTAAAATAGGATGTAGTAATAGACCATGACTGTGGGTGAAACCGGCCTCTCTAAAACTGAAAAATAGGTAGGATTGAGCCTGCCTTGGAGCTGTGACCTTCAGGACAATGAGGATAAAAATGTAGCTCTGATCCTGGAAAGCTCTTAGTGGCTCCCTGCCAAGCAGAGACTAGACTTCAGACTGCTTTCTCAGCATGAAGAACCCTTTTTGAGCAAGCCTGAGTGCTTCCTCAGCATGACGTCCAGTCCAGCCCTTTCTTGCCTCAGTCGGGGCTGCTTCCCTGTTCCACATCTTAGCATCTCACTGAGTCTCCTACCATATCTGTGCCCCACAGGCAAGCTTGTCTGTACCCTTTGTCACTAGCTCTCTTAGTTATCATTAGTATCTTTACCAGTGGGTGGAGAAGCTTTCTCTTGCCTTCCAAATGGGGCAGTGGAGACAACGACTTCTTTGTCATTTGGAGTGTATTTATTGGGCAAACTTTTGTTGACTACCTACTGTTTGTTGACTGGTGTGGTGGAGATGAATAACGCACCCTCTACAGCCCCAGGCTGCTCCTATTCTGGTAGGGGGAGACTGACTTTTAACCAGAGAGCCAGAAAACCTCCAGGTAAGTGTGCTGTAGGGGAGGAGTTGGTCCATGTGGCTGTGGACCCAGAGCAGCTTGGCTGCCTTCAGCAATGCAGAACACTTCAGAAGGCGGCATGTCAGCAGGTTTCATGGGAAGAGTTGGCTGGCACTGAACGGTAGAAAATGGAGACAAATGGATTTTTTTTTTTTTTTTTTAGAATGTTATTGTCCTTTCACTGCAGAGGAGGAAGAGTTTAACTTAATTCAATTCTGTTTGTTTGTTGAAGTTTGTTATGGTGCCAGGGATCAGACTCAAGATCTTGGCAATGTCCCCCCCCCCCATTTTTAACTAGAAAATAACAGTGAGCTCTTTAAACTTTTTCTGTTCTCTCAGTTCTATGGCCTGTATTTTTTTTTTTTTGAGGTGTTCTCAGTCTTGCGATCCTAAGGAGCACCTTAGGATCCATTGATTACTCTGTTGCCGTGACCTTGGAGGAACTTCACAGTTGTCTGATGATGATCTTGAAAATGAAGTTAGAAATCTTGCTTTTAGTTGGAGAAATGATTAGAATAGTGTGGCTGGTTGGATCATTGCGGATTGCCTACTTAAACCTTAATATTTAGCTTCCCCCCCCCCCCTATTTTCATCCAAAAAGAAACAAAAAAGAAAAAAATATTCAAAAGGATGCTTAAATTTTAAAATGTATTTCAGATTACTTGTTTTTTGTTTTTTTGTTTTTTTTGGTTTTTTGAGACAGGGTTTCTCTGTGTAGCTTTGCG